AAAAAAAAAAAAAAGAAAAGTTCCAAGATGATGTTTATTTTCGGTCATGAACCTGATGTTTCTTAAGCAAAGATCAAATTGCCTGATGACGTTAAGCACTTATTTTTTTTTAAAATCATCTTTAATATAACAAAAAATCACTGAAAAAAAGGTCTGAGAAAGGTAGGGTGGGAATGTCAATCACAGATAGTGACTGAGTTCTACTTCCTCTTGTTGAGCACGGCATGCCCACGTCCAGTAATACAGGGTAATGGCTGCGTGCTCTCGGTCAGAAGCAGACGCCTCCAGGGCAACTTCAAGGCCCCATCACCTGGCCTGGGTGTGATCCTGCAAGCCAGCTCTCTGCAAGATCATAGCAATCTGAAAACTTTTTACATGCTGGGAAAGGCTAGTGGCATGAAAAGCATGCTTTCTCCCAGCCCTGGTTCTCATCCCAGCTCTTGGATCTCTGAACCTTTTTACCCTCAGTTTTATCATCTGCAGAAAGTCATTTGCCCTGCCAATTTTACTGTTATAATCAAGTGAGATCTGTGACCTTATATGAACAGTAAAGGCACAGACTGTTCAAAGTACGTACAGAATAATAAATGCAATGTGGAAAGTATTCAGAAATTTTATCAGTCATTATTACAATTAGATGATTTACAGTGGTGATGGTTTGTCCCAGACTCCCCTTAACCCTACCCAGCCACATGTTAAGGTCATAGCAGACTGTCCAACAGCGAGGACCCTTTGCTGACTCTACCTTCAGCAAAATCATAATTGACTTAGGAAAGGCGACAAGAAGGTCCAGGCTATACCATCAATCATTTGCAGCCTGTAACATTCAAACTCCGAAATTAACAAGTCTCTTGAAAGACTCGGTAAACAAAAAGATTCAGTTTGAGTATCTAGTGTTAAACACTCCCTCTTCCTCTAATTAACATCTACTCAGATAAAGAGGATTTTTAGTGTTCTTTCTAGAAAAACAAGAGTATCAACTCACATAGGAGTAAGGAACAAAAAGGCTATAAAATCAACAAACAATCCCATCAAACTATTATAATATCCTGAGAGAATCAATGCTCCCATGACCTGTGCAGTTGTGTGTCTTCATCAGGTCTGACGTCGGGAGCAGAAAAGGTGACTGCCCACTTTTTCAACTTGTAGGCCATCACTGCAGAAAGAGGCCTGCTCTCGTGTCCAGAGAGGAAGGAAATCATTATCCCCTACTCACACATGAGGAAACTGGAGGTGCAGGGAAGGTAAGTAAATTACTCCTGCCTCATATTCAAAAATGTTACAGCCAAAATTCCAACATCAGGCTAGTTGGCTCTCTTGCTGACAGTTACCACCCTGAGCCACACGGCTCACCTAATCAGCATGTCACTGGTTTATATTTGCTGCGTACTCAACTCGCAGACCAGGGAAGGCTGCACATACACACATATGGGACAACGCGAACTCTTTATGGAACTCTCACAGACAAAGGTGTCAGGCTAATGACAACAGTAGGACACTGAGACGTTTTAAAGATACATACGGTCTATCAATTGGTTCATCAGGCGATCTGGAAATTAAGGGAGAGGACAGAAAATAAGACCAAACCACGTCAGAGAGATTTAGAGAAAGAAAAACTTTCCATCCAGGACATTCCCAGCTTACACTCCCCGCACCCCACAGGGAACCCCCACGCAATCCTCAGCCCCTTACCCACCACACAGACCACCCAGCCTGCAAACATGAAGTCATTACGGTAATGAGAGTAAATAACAAGTTTTAGCCATTTAGATCAGATAAAAACATAATGTTCTGATAATTATCTCACTGAACTAAATAATTTCTCTCCCTATATTTCTAAGAACTTAGTCAATTACAAGGCAAAGATTCTAGTATGACCATCAAGAAAGCCAGAGCAGTACTAGTAAACCCTCTTGTATTTCTGATGCTCATACTGACCTCTTCTTCCTTTAACCCCTTTAATGAACCTCCTATACCAGGGGTCCTCAAACTTTTTAAATAGGGGGCCAGTTCATTGTCCCTCAGACCACTGGAGGGCCGGACTGCAGGCCCCAGGACAAGTCGGCTGCTAAGCAGGACAGGCAGCAGTTGTAAACCCCCCGCCCCCAGCGGGCCAGATAAATGTCCTAGGCGGGCTGCATATGGCCTGCAGGCTGTAGTTTGAGGACACCTGATATGTGACCCAGGGAACAGAGCACAGATGCCTGTCTGAATCTTATCCTTCTCCTCAGACTCCCCTTACTCTGTTTTTGCACCTGGCCATGGTCATCAACAACACACACTGCTCAAGTGATGGAAAACCCTTGACAAAGGGGCCCAGAGTGCTCCACTGTTACTAATGATGTTCCCTAATTGACTCATTAGTAAACAGGTGAGCAAACAAAACCAGAATAAAATGGATCTCATCAGAATAACTGACCTAAAAGTTAAACCAAAATTTTTCTGACACTAGTTTTAAACCCACAAAGGTGGGGCCATTATTCTTTTGCATGTCTTTTTCCTTTAAAGAGTTATGTATTCTGAACAACAACCAATTTAAGGGTCATGGATAAAAGATAAACTCAAACACCTCCCTTGCTTGAAGCAGCAACAGAGCTGTGGAGGAGAGATGCTGTCAAGATTTTTAAAACCAACACACTCTATTGACTTGCCCCTAAGGGTTGTCCAAAGGTATTCCCCAGAATGACTCGGCTCCCTGGACTAAGAACCTGCTAGAAACACACTCTTTCTTTTCCCAACAGGGGGTAAACACGGGCTTCTCCTCCCATTTGGGGGAAGTAGAGAACGGAAGGGAGGAAGTCAAGACCAGAAGCAACATAACCTAAAAACCGTCCATTTCAACTACTCTAATGGGTCTGTGCCTCTTACAACATTTAAGTTTACAGCTGCAGCTGTGCCTCCCTTCTGTGTCTATAGTAGGTTATAATCCCTGGAAGACAGATAAGGGACCCCTGATGGGTGGAGGTGGCAGCAACAGACTGGTAGGAAAAAGTGACTCTTCCTACAGAGGCAGGTGGGCGGGAGACAGTACCTTTTGAGTCATCAGGAATGACTATAGGGGGGCTGATGTCTGGAAGTTCCTCCTCTCCTGGCTGTAACCCCCTGGCTCGGAGATGGTTGATATCAAGTAGGTCTGGCATATCAATAGAAACATCTGCAAAATGAGAGATGGAGTATTCACTGGACTCTCCAGAAACCCACAGTCACCTCAGTATACACCAGCACTGCTAACTCCTACACACAGTCTAGGCCAGCGGTTCTCAAACTGTGGGTCGCGACCCCTTTTTAACAATGAAAATACACTATGGCATTAGGAAGGTTGAGAACCACTGGTCTAGGTAGAGCTAAGGGGTGCTTTCCAGTTCCCTGGAATACAACACTGGACCAGCAAATTCATCAAGACTAATTAGATGCTAATGCAGACCTTGGGGAAAGTATAGCAGGCAGCAGGATTTCACAGAGTGAGAACAAGTCGGCTAAGCTGGAAGTCACACATCGGCAGCCCACAGACCATTTGTGGCCCAGACACCTTCTATTTGATGTTTCAAAATGTTAGCAATGAATTCTAGTCTTTAAATCAAAAGGTTTAATTTGAAAATCCAGATGGCCAGCTTATTTGAAAGACAGGATGCGGCAGCACATTCTCCTACAGCAACAGCCTCTGGAGCTCGTCTTTCCCTCTCACAGTGGTGCTCAGAAGTCTGACACAGATCCCGGTGCTCCCTGTCACCCCCTTGAGCATCAGCTAATCAACGTCAGCATCATGTTTCTGCTATTCTGATTTTTTTTTTTTTTTGAGACAGAGCCTCAAGCTATCCCCCTGGGTAGAGTGCCGTGCCATCACAGCTCACAGCAACCTCCAACTCCTGGGCTCAAGCAAGTCTCCTGTCTCTGCCTCCCAAGTAGCTGGGACCACAGGTGCCTGCCACAACGCCTGGCTACTTTTGGTTGCAACCATCATTGTTGTTTTGGCGGGCCCAGGCTGGATTCAAACCCGCCACCTTAAGTGTATGTGGCTGGCGCCTTAGCCACTTGAGCCACAGGCACGGAGCCTGCTATTCTGATTCTTATGGTCGAAAAATGTCTTCATCTGTTGTCTTTCTCCAAAGTAAGAATAAGCAAGCAAGACCAAGATAGCTAGAAACATGTTTTTTTGTTTTTGTTTTTTTGAGACAGAGTCTCACTATGTCACCCTCAGTAGAGTGCTGTGGCATCACAGCTCACAGAAACCTCAAACTCTTGGGCTCAAGTGCTCCTCTTGCCTCAGCCTCCCAAGTAGCTGAAACTATAGGTGCCCACCATAATGCCCAGCTACTTTTTCTCTTTTTAGTAGAGACAGGCTCTTGCTCTTGCTCAGGCTAGTCTTGAACTCCTGAGTTCAAGCAATCCACCCACCTTGGACTCCCAGAGTGCTAGGATTACAGGCATGAGCCACTGTGCCTGGCCTCAACTGTATTACCCTTTAGAGTACATTTTTTTTAACTTCTTGGCTTAGCTGTTATTATCTTGACTTACTCAAGATCTGTCAGTGTGGTAATCTGTCAAGATTTAGTACTGCACATATTCAGATGAAATAATAAAATGTGTGTTCAAATGTTGGTGCAGGAGGTGTTATTTGGGTTAACAAACAAAACCTGAAAATACCATCCCTGAAATCAGTTATGATGCCAGGTACATATATCCCATCCTATTTTAAAACAACCATCCCAAAAAACAAAATTTAGTTTAAAAACAAAAATCTAAATTTCAGGGGGCAGCAACATCAATGCAAGTCTGAACAACCAAATCAACACAGTTGCTCCTCAAGAGAAAAAGAAAAAATCTTTGAGGCTCCTTTTAATTCAGCAAATCAGTGATACCTGATTCAAATTTTTGGTCTTTTACAGAAATTTCAAGGACAAAGAAAAATAAGAAAACTGTTTCCCGAGTAGTTTGAGGCCTTTAGAATAAGTCAGTTTTCTCTCTCAGGTACTTGTCAGGTCTGTGGAAGGAAAACTGAGTGATCACCATCCTGACCTCTGCCTCTCCCCTCCTTCCAAACCTATCCCCCCAGGGAAGCGAGGGGCTCCTGACAGGCCAGCACGATTTCATCTGGCAAACAGGTGCCACATAACTGTTAGTGTTGTGGGTTTCTAGGAAATCACTCTAGCCAACTACACATCCTTTTGACTTATTCCCTTCAGACAAGTATTTAGTTACCCACTGTTAAGACTTGAGTTGTGTTTTGTTTTGTTTTTATTCTTACATGCTCAAACACAAAGAAACATCAAAAGATTGGTGAACAGCCTGAGGAACTTGTTTAAGAAACTATACATTCTTCCACATCCCTGGGATCACCTAATAACCTCCTTCACATTAGATCACTGTGGTAGAGTAGGGTTTTTATGCACTGTCTGGAAAATTAACCTCAAAAAATGGTCCAGGGCCTTTAAAGCCAACAAGAAGAAAGCAAAATAAGACGAAAAATCACATCCCTTTTTTGATTATTCAATGCAACTGACACTTCTATTTTAATATTAATAAAAGTTGTATGATTTAAGTGAGTGTCATTAGCCACACCTGCCTGCCCTGGAGGCTGAGGAGACAATGTCCTCAATCACCTGCCACTCAAAGCACGGTTTGGACCAGCGGCAACAGCGGCAACAGCAGCAGCAGCAACACGTGGGAACTTGTTAGGAACACAGACCCTCAGGCCCATCTCGGACCTGCTGAACTGGCATCTGTATTTTACCAAGATCCCAGGTGATTCATATGCGTGGTAAAGTTGGGGAAGTACTGTTTCATCAACAGTGTAAGGATTCTGTTTTCACAGCTAGAATCCAATCATTCCAGAACCCATGACTGAAGGGGTGGGTTAGCAGGTGGTAATTTTTATCATGGGTGCTTATCATATACTCTGATGGGAAAGAGTATATGACTGGAAAGGCAAGAAGGATGGAAAAAAGAGTGAAATGGAACTGTTGGTGGCAGCCAACTACATGGGCTCTTTCACATGCCATGTTTTTTAAACAGCTAATTTGAAAGCAAAAGCATGCAAAAGATACCTACCAAATTTTTTGGGAACCCAGTCAAGACCAAAAGTGAACTTCTTTATCTGCACTACCAAGTACTCAGGGAATGAGGCAAAGCGAGATGTTCTGGGAAACACAAGGGGATATATCAATGACACAAGGCAATAAGAATTGTCAGCACAGTTCATGAAGCATCACAAGCTTTGTCCAAGGCGCACCTGGCTGTCCCAGTGACTGAACGGATGAGGGGGAGCATCCACACACAGACATGCCCACGGACACTCACTCACTCTGCAGTCAGCCAGGCCTCTTCACTGGAAGAAAACGCCTAACATGGGAGAATGTTGTGCCTTGGGAAAGACTGGGGTCATTTCAAAATCAGTACTTGTACTTTGCTGTGGCATTTTACATCTCTGAAAGCACGTTCCAAACATTTTTTTCTTTTCTTTTTTTTTTTGAGACAGAGTCTCACTCTGTCACCCTGAGTAGAGTGTCGTGGCATCATAGCTCACAGTAACCTCAAACTCCTGGGCTAACATGATGCTCTTGTCTCAGCCTCCCAAGTAGCTGAGACTACAGACACCTGCCACCATGCCCAGTGGGTTTTTCTACTTTTAGTAGAAACATGATCTTACTCTTACTCAGGCTGGTCAACCATTTACTTTTCTAAAAATCCTTGTAAGAATTGAGCATATATATTTGCGTTTATGGGCATGGATGCCTTATGTTTGTATGTGTAGGTTTGGGAAAACTCCCCAAGTGATCCTGAAACGCCCCCTCCTCCACTCCTCCACAGAACCACTACATTAAAATACTCCTGTTCCTAAGTCCATAGTTCAGACACCCCATAACATGTGTGTATGTGTGTGTGTGTGTGTGCATGTATATATACACATATATGGAAGTACCCAAAATATCTAAATATGGGTCTTTAAGTTTAATATTAATTACTTACGAGCAACAGCTTAAGTTCTCTGAAAACTTAAAGAAATGCTGAATTGCCTGGAGCTGGATTTGATGGTTTTATGCCCAGACCTTTCACCTGTATACCAAATGCACGTCCGTTTCTGCTCATTCACTCCATGTTTATCATCTTGTTTTTAACAGTCAGCTCTACTTGATTGTGAGTATGGTACATATTTATTAAAAAGAAAACAAGCTGTTGACAGGTATCACAGGTAACTTTGAAAATAAAAGACTGTGGAACACCCTTCCCCCAGAGCCCACTTTGCCTCCTATTCAGCAGGCTTGGACCCAGAATTCAGAAAACAAATGCAAGTGCACTGCTGCCCCCTAGTGTAGCAGAGATGCCATTGTACAGGGGTTTGGACCAAAAAAAAAAAAGTCAAAAAGGTCCTGAATATATCACTTCATTCACTGCAAATCCAGGCAAATCCCAGACCCTCCTAGAGGCTCTGTTTTCACATCTACAATAAGGATTTGCCAATAGAGAGCTGCACAGAGGTCATGAAATGATGTGACCACTTGCCACTCTAGAAAGTATTGTGTTTACCGAAGGAAGTAGGGGGACTATTTTGTCAGGGAAGAACCAGTGTCCATGAAGCCCTGGACACTGACTTGTTCTGTCACTGACCTGTATTTTACCCCAGGCGAGTTATTTAAAATTTCTGTATCTAAAGTTCTTCATCACGAGGTTGGCAGAAAGGTAAAGGCAATGACAGGAGGCATATCATGTGGCTTATCTCAATCCTCCCTTCAGTAACAATACAAAGGCAACACCATAAAGAAAACAGCAGCTTTATCATCCTATCAGAGAGGAGCCTCATCAGCCTGTTATTATTCTGGCTCACTCTCCAGAAATTATATACTATCTCTAATTAGGTTCTCCTAACTTCTGAGAAGCTGTAATAAACATCATTCTTATCTAAATGCTGACAAGTCCTCAGCTGTACCAAAAATAACAAACTCCATCTGGTATTATGATATTTTCAACTGATGTAAAATGTTACCTTTTTGACCTCCTTGTCAAACTTAAAATCTGGAAAATACATAACAGTGAAAGTCATTAGTAAACCAATCTTTTCTGAAATGTAATTTGGGAGCCCTGATACTCATGGTCAGGGTCTGGGTGAAGTCTCAGCTGGTGACATCGTAGTGGGAGGGACTCAAGGTTGGGGTGGGGCTAATGTAACCACTTGGTGATGGGTAGCTACCCACCTAAGAGTACCAGAAAGCAGGTTCAGATGGTGACCACGTTTTATTTGTCCTGTTGGATAAATATTCTTTAGTCATCTTTGTAACCACTATAGCTTATCCACATGTACTAACGGCTCAATACATATCTGTCCAAATCCATCTCGAAAGTAATGCCCTGCATTTATTTATTTATTGCAGTTTGAGAGCATCAAGTTTGCTACTTAAATCCAGCAATGCTATAAATTATGCTCTGCTCACTCATTTATTGCTAAAATTAACCCCAGAACTAAAATTTTTCTTGAAAGCTATATATTTTTAATAAAGAGTATTAGAATGTAAGTTATTCAAAAAGGGCTAGACAGACTCATAGCAATTTACTTCAAAGGGTTGTTAGGAGAACTGAGTGGAGACACATAAAGGGCTTAGACCAGGTTCTACAAAATCATCGCATTGTCTGTGAGAACCTATTAACATTACTTAAAATGCATCAATTTGTCACTAACTATGATTAAGGCAAAAGTATCATGAAAACTTGATTAAGAGTAACTATACAGGCTCCGCGCCTATAGCTCAACTGGCTAAGGCGCCAGCCACGTACACCTAAGGTGGCGGGTTCGAATCCCCAGCCTGGACCCGCCAAACAACAATGACGGCTGCAACCAAAAAATAGCCGGGCGTTGTGGCGGGCGCCTGTGGTCCCAGCTACTTGGGAGGCGGAGGCAGGAGACTCGCTTGAGCCCAGGAGTTGGAGGTTGCTGTGAGCTGTAATGCCATGGCACTCTACCCAGGGGGACAGCTTGAGGCTCTGTCTCAAAAAAAAAAAAAAAAGAGTAACTATACAAACTGTACCTCTCCTTGGCATTAATATTGTCTATTGTATTGAAAACCTGGCAAATTAGAAGAAAAGACAGTTCTACCCTTTCCACTAAATATGTCAAAAATAATTGACCACACTCAAATTACATAATACAAGCCCCCAAACAGGGAGAAAAGATAAAGATAATAGTAACAACGCTTGCATCATCTTGTATTTACTCTGCCAGGGACCGTCAGAAGCACTGTGTGTGGCTTATCTTACTTAATCCTTCATGGTTAACAGCTAAGTAAAAAACTCCCCCACCAACCCTTAATCTGTGAGCTGCTCAAAGGCAGGAAATAGGTCCTGTTCCACCCAGTACCTAGCATACACTAAGTGAGCAATCACATTGCCGGGTGAATGAACTTTCAAAACACTAATATTCTTCCCAGACACGGTCTGCAGAGGATCACTTAATGGAAGAGTCTTTGTGTCGGGCACATACTGACCCAAGATGCACCAACATCATTAGGATACTTTTTGCCTTCTCCTGGTCTTTTAGGCTCCAGATCTAACAAAAGAAAAGTTCAAGTCCCTAAATCAACAAAACACAGGCTGAGTCGCAGCCTGCAGTGCTGGAAATGAAAAGAAGAGATCCTTTAGGAAATCCGCTGTACTGGTTTCTCCAAAGATAATATTTGAGATGTGATAAACCATGATGAGGAGCAGCCAAGCCCACAGGATGTCGGGATACACACAACAGGCAGTGAGAGGTTTAGCTGTGAGCTCCATCAGACCTGAACAAATCCCACATCTGCCGTGTAGAATGAGAAAATCATGGTACCAGCCTCACACTACTAAGAAGATTAAATATGACAATTAATGCAAGTGTTTAAACACATGCCCTGGTAATAATAAATGTACAGTAAACACTAGTTGCTTCATTACCTTTGATATTGCTTTTTTCTTTCCCACACGGACCATTTCACCTACTATTGTGAGACACACTCAGCACAAATCTTTTCATGCATATAAAAAGTATATACAAGAGTGGGCGTGTATATAGAGAAAAAGGCAAAAAGCACATTTAATATCTCCTTTGAAGGACTAAGAAAAATTGAAACCCCTCCTCAAGGATTCCTGCTAGTTATGTCAGCACTGCTTACAACTAAATATTCTGTAGCACGGTAGGAGAAATTCAGGTCAACAAGCACCATTCCTCCATTACAGATGAAAGGACGGGAGATGGTGACTTTGCAGGACAGAAGACAAGGTGGGAGGTGAACACAGGAAAAGAATCCTGACTCCTGACCACTAGTCCTGGGCTCAGAGAAGCTGTCTGTGGAAAACTAATAACACCTGCCAGCTCCATTTTAAAGATGGGCCTTCCCAAGTGGTGAGAAGGCTCTTTTCTGGCAGGGCACACACAGAGAAAGGCAGGCCCAGAGAGTATGTCACAGCCTGTATGTCTAAGAGACCAGGCCTCTTTCTGAAGAGCGGAAAGGGACAGCTATGGGAAAGGCAAATGAAGATACCCCCACTCCACAGCTCCCACCTGACACTGGGGGCTTCCTAGGCTCCTGGGACCCACAATCACTTCCCAGCTCCCAAAACACAAAGCACAAAGAGAGAAAGCTAAATGTTTGAGGAATCTCCAACCCACTGTCAATGGTTAAAGAAGCTGCTTCCACTGCTATGACAGTGGGTAGATTTCTAGCTGCCCAAAGACGTCTCCAACTGGCAATAAAGTGCACCTGTCACATTTAATGCTTCAGATCACCAACTATTATCTGCAAGACACACACACACGTGCACACAGGCACACACACAATACACAAACACCACGCACCCCAACTGAGCAGTCCTTGAATGAAAACTTACCCAATAATGAACAACTGGTACCTGAATGAGCTGTTGCTATTCATCTTTCTTTGGATATGGAGCTTTTAAAAATTATTTTAAGAAAAAGTGGCTTATATTAGCATTTGAAATGAATTATTTTTGTTTTGGGGGGTTTTTTTTGGAGACAGAGTCCTACTCTGTCACCCTGGGTAGGGTACCATGGCATCATACATCACAGCAACCTCAAACTCTTGAGCAATCCTCTTGCCTGAGCCTCCCAAGTAGCTGGGACTACAGGTGCTGACCACAAAGCCTGGCTAGTTCTTCTATTTTTAGTAGAAATGGAGTCTTGCTGTGGCTCAAGCTGGTCTCAAACTCCTAAGCTCAAGTGATCCACCTGCCTCGGCCACTCACAGTGCTTGATTACAGGTATGAGCCACCGCACCCGGCCAGCTTTATCATTTTTTAAGTCTATAGTGTGGAACAAAGGGAAATCAATGGATGTGTTTCATAGAGAATAACTGATTGAAGTTTGACTGCTACTGGAGCCAGGAGTAGCCCTTTCTCTCTGCTCAGCCCTTTACATCAACCATGAGCTCAATCTCACCCTCTTCAAGAAAGGCAGTCAAAGAATATCTAAAAGTAGAGAAATTCCCAGAGCCAAACTTTCAGACCTCCCTTCATTTTAGGCCACTAGAAGCACTTTTTTTAATGCAACAGTATCAAGTGCGTTGGCAAGGACTTGGCTGTAACAAATCACTGAGGCATCAAGTAGAGAAAAAAAAATGTATGGACCCGACAACCAGCCTCACAAGGCAAAAACAGCACATCTAACTAAACCCCGGGAGCTCATCTGAGCTGTGCTCAGGGCCTGTCTGTCCACTTGGAGATGCTCCAGGGCTCCTAGTCTCCAACTAGGAGCAGTCAACCAAGTTCTAGGCCTGATCGTTATGATGGAATTAAAATACATCACAGTGAGTTTAAAGACTGAAGCCTGCCTTACGAAGCTCTGTAATTTCTTCATTAATAATATTGTTCTTGCTATTTGGGGGTAAGGAGTATTTCTTGACTGTACACTCCTGGCAAAAGAAGACAGACAAAGAAAGAGGACAAGGGAAAGGGAAATTCCCAACAGAGGTAAACCACAGCCTTGCATTTCAAAAGTAGACATCGCCTCCCTAGCACATAACATAAAGCATAAGCCTATTGTCTGGGGCAGGTCTCACAAGGGAAGTCAATGGCAGTCAGGGCGTGTGAATCAGACTCCCACCCCACCACACATGAACACGCACGCACAGACTCATACTTCCTGCTCTCCACTCCCCGACCACCGCTGCCACTTCTCAAAGCCCCTCCTCACGCACTGCCCCCACATACACACTTACTTCACGCCTGCAGACTTTGCCTGTAGGGCGCTGCTCCAGAAATCATCAACATTTTCTGGTTCAGAAAAGGCCTGAAGGCAGGCACTAAATGGTATCTTGGCTCGAACCAACTCAGGAAGGGGTCTTCTGTTTGCTTCTGCATCCCTTCTCGTCAATTCATAGGCGATCAGTTCATCTGAGTGAAAGACAAATGAAACAACATTGGGATCACTCTTCTGAAACGAAAAACACCCTTTCTGGACAGTCCTCCCTGCAGCCTTCCGGGCTGGGCCAGGTTTGCTTACTTGTTTCCCTTTACACAGCTGGGTAACCTGCTAAAAAGCTGTTCTCAGGCGGTCTTTAGAACAGCACTGACAGGTGACATCGAGCCATTCACATGTTTTGCCTGTTCCCCTCTGAGACTGGCAGGAGGAACTGGGAGCCTGGGTAAGAGGGTCAGACCACGAGCCAACGTACACATGAGTGAACTTGGTTTTTCATTTCTCCACAGGTCAAGCCCGGGATTATTCAAACACCATCCTCCAAACATAAAGCCTTCATCACTTCAGAGAATTTTATAGCTGAAAGAGATCCAAGGGCTCACCTCTTCCCAGACCCTTTGCTGCTGTGCTGAATGAACTGAGGCCCAAGGTCAAAGCCAGTCAATCACTGACAAAGCTGAAACTTAAAACCCTGACCAGCTCTCCCTCTGCTTCCCTACAGATGAGGCTAAAGCATGTAAAGAGATCAAGGTTTGCCAATGATCAGACACATATACACACAAGTAACAAAAACATTCCTGTTAACTTAAAGCTGTTTTAAAAGAAGACGATCAAGGTGGGGGGGGGGGGAGATGGAATAGATAAAAGCAAAAAGATCTACCACTGAGCTCCTTGTCAGGTCAGACCCCAGGGTACACATTTTCTGATTCGGTTCCCCCAGCAGCTATGATTAGAGGTTATAGGTCCCCTACGGTGTGGGGCCACAGAGGAGGGTAAACATCAGACTGCAGTGATCCGCCCTGACAAATCTCGTAACTGACCAATAACTGACCAACACAGCAGAGCAACTTGCTGAGGTTACCCAGCACCTCAGATATCAATCAGGGCTACCAACCTCTCTTTACTGTCCCTGCTCAAACAATTAAACACCAAGGGAAAAAGAAACAACTGGGCCATGCATCTGTCAAGAGTCAGCAGATCTGTCCCTGGAAATTAACCTGTCGTGAAAATTTTTTTTTTTTTTTTTTATTGAATGGTAACTGTGTACATTGATGCACTTTGGGGGTACAGTGTGGTGTTTTCATAC